TTCTTTGGTGGGTGGGTGGGTGGGGGTTGTGTGGGGGGGTGTGTGGGTGGGTGGTTGTGTGTGTGTGTGTGTGTGTGTGTGTGTTCTGATAGAAATCATTATATTCTCTGCTATTAACATGACCAAATCTCCTTTACATTTTGTCACTTTTACCTCAGGAACTTTTTCCTTCCATTCTTGATAAAGGTCTCTCATATCGATTAATTTATTCTCCAGCTTCTCAATGGTCCAAACTTGGGTACCCTTTCCTTTCCTCCTCACTTGAATAGCTGGCTCACTCACTATTACTCCTCTCTGTAGAATGAAGAAAAACAAAAACAAACAAACAAAAAAATCTTGTTATAACTTTTGGATCATTAAAGAAATGTATGTTATTGTAAAGTAGCAAATTAAAAAAAAAACCATAATGTATACAAAAGAAGATGAAATTCTACCACATACAGAATATTTTGGTTTCTTTTTCATGTTCTATTATATGCAGGCACATAATTTTTACCACAACCAGAATTAAATAAAAATATAAATTTCCTCTCTCATTTCTCTCACCATAGTTTTTATATTATAATCATCTTGTGTTGATAACTATTCTTCATAAACATTTCTAATGGTAACGTAGCAATCCATTATATGGATGTCCTACTCATTTGACTAATTATTCTACTGTTTCAAATTTTTGCTATTATAAAGGACACTATGATAAGCATCCTTGTAAGATAAGCACATCGAACTTTAAGTTCACTTCTATGACTGTGGACTTAGAATACATTTCTCAAAGGAGAACTACTCAGTCAAATGACTAAAACCCAGGAAGACCTATGAGACACTCCCTGACTCACACCTAGCCTGCTTGTTAAAAAAAGATGACTGGATAAAAAAATTTTGTTTTCAAAGTTTCTCCTTAAATGAAAAATTCTTCAAGTTGAAACGATGGGGGATGTCCAATTAAATAAAAGAAATGATGGGAACATCCAAACAGCTGCAGAGGGTCCTTCTGTGTATATAAGGACAGGTATCGTATCACTCTTTCTTTCTTGTAGAATTCACTCTTAAAATGGTACTATAATAAAGCATACACCTATCCCCCATTTCAGAAAGGGGCATTTATATGAAAGAGAAAAGCAGGTGGGATTGCTTACATACATTCCTACTTTTAAGGAAAGCATTTAAATTAGCAAGTCCTTCAAGTCACCAAAATTCTCATATTCTGATCATAACATATCTAAGGGCGTACATACGCGAGTAGGTCTATAGAGGAAGTCTTACAAAGAATAAATACCCAAGCTCCCGTCAGCATCTCCTTATGGATGTTTTCCTGGATGTCAGGTTCATATTCACCTTACAGTATTCCCTATTGCACATCTTTTCTCAGTCTTACCTTTCTGTTGGCACTGAGGTTTGCAGCAGGGATCTGCAGAGTCACTTGGTAGTCAGTGAGTTTGCTCATTTCCTCAGCTAAGAAGTTTGCCTCCCTCACCAAGGTATTAGCTTTAACTAGCTGCTCGCGCAGTTTTGCCAGGCTCTGACGGAAAAGTTCGTCCCTGTGGTGTAGCAGTAAAGGAAATGAGAAAATTTTAAAGAAAAATACAATCTTGTTTCTAAGTGAGTCATATTATTAGAAAGTGGTAGTAAACTTTCAGACAATATTTTTCAACCTAGTTTTCCAAATCACCTCATAATCCTTTCCATCTCCCACCAGGGTTTCGTGGGCTATCTGTTGGTAACCATTGACTAGGAGCAAGTATGTGGAATGATGTAACAAAAAACGATTTTTAAAGTTATATAACATTTGTAAACTACTAGATTTTGATAGGGTGATGCAACGACCACCACTCGTAATCTTTTAGGAAGAAGGCATAATTATGGCTTTTGTGTGCTTTAGGATCAGAGACTAAGAGTGGACAGGTGAAAGAAATCTGGAGTTAGAAGGAAGTGTTTTACATGATTTCTTCACTTGGTAAAAGGCAAGGGGGGGTACTTCT